AGTTTCACTTCACTTTTAGCAATATTCCAGCAATATCACAAGGACACCAGAAACAGGCTTCTCTTATTGCACCCATGTGGGTAATCGAACCTGGGTCTGATAAATTGTGATAAACCAAGGCTACCCACTTTAACCACAAAGGTGTATCCCACCGCCCTTCTGATTAGTGTGTGTGTGTGGGTGTAGTGTGTGTGTGTGTGTAAAGTGTTGTGTGTGTGTGTGTGTGTGTGTGTGTGTGTGTGTGTGTGTGTGTGTGTGTGTGTGTTTTTACTTGTGGTTAAGGTGTTCACTTGTATCACTGAAGGCCCAGGTTTTATTCTTCACGAGAGTACAATATGTACAGAGAGTTTAATCCTTGAATCAACATCAATGTGAAACCTGGTGAATTCGTTTTTCAATATGAAACCATCAAAGATATATTTTTGTTACAAATTAAGTCTGCACTGTTGTAGGAATGATGTAAATGCTTATTTACATAACTACTCATTTTATTCACTGTTTGCCCAATAATTGATTGCAAATAGTGTTTGGTTACATGACCCAAACTAAATCTTTGTGAAATGAGTAAGTGTGACTTATTCATGTTGCATGACATGAATATTTTCTCTGTTTGTATGCAGCTGATTAGATTGTTTGATATTTGAGTGAACCCAAATGTCACCCTGACACAACACAGGAAGAATATAAATTATTGATACTTATAATCTGGTTTTTTGTCTTCTGTAACCCAATAGCCAAGTAACCATTCTGGGAAAGGGGTGGCCTGTTGGCATATCACCGTGACATCTGTTGTGGATTTGAGGGAGGGAAGGCGAGGGTGGCGTGACAGTTAGTTCAGCCATGGTTACAAAGGAATGTCTACTAGCCACGTAGTCACCAGAGTCTCATTTCCAATAGCGATCTTAGTACTCAGGTGATCCAGCGTACTTCAGCATAGACTTACGATGGTTGTTGCACTACGATTGTTTTGTGGAATGATGTCCAGGGTCCCAATCCACCGAAAGATCTTAGCAGTCAGGTGATCCTGCCTTTGTACATTAACAACAGGGCGTTGGGGGTAGCCTAATGGTTAAAGCGTCCGCTCGTCACGCTGAAGACCCGGGTTCGATTCCCCACATGGGTACAATGTGTGAATCCCATTTCTGGTGATATTGCAGAAATGTTGCTAAAGGCAGCTCCAAACTAAACTGACTCACATTAACATAGATTTAAGACGGTTATTCGTCTTTCGTAAGTCTATGTTAAAGTATGGGAGTTACGAACATCTTAGCGCTACGACTGTCGTAAGTCTATGTTAAAGTATGGGAGTTACGAACATCTTAGCGCTACGATCGCTTTGTGGAACGGGGCCCTGGGTCCCAATCCACGGAAGATCTCAGTACTCAGGAGATCCTTCCTCTGTACTTTAACGTGCTAAAATTACTTACGACGACCATAGCGCTTTGTGTAATGGTGCCCAGTGAGGACTTTACTGCAGGGATTAGACTGACTGAGTTTGGTTTTACGCCGCTTTTAGCAATATTACAGCAACATCAAGATCTCAGTACTCAGGAGATCCTTCCTCTGTACTTTAACGTGCTAAAATTACTTACGACGACCATAGCGCTTTGTGTAATGGTGCCCAGTGAGGACTTTACTGCAGGGATTAGACTGACTGAGTTTGGTTTTACGCCGCTTTTAGCAATATTACAGCAACATCACGGCGGGGGACACCAGAAATGGGCTTCACACATTGTACCCATGTGGGGAATCGAACCCGGGTCTTCGGTGTGACGAGCCAACGCATTAACTACTAGGCTACCCCACTGGCCCCCAGGGATTAGATGACCGATTAAGTCACATACATATTGTTCACGTAGCGGACCACTCGACCCAGCTGGGATTCCTAGCGTACTCCATTGGCCGTATGTATATGTCGGGCGTAAATTCTAGTCCGGGCGTAAGTAAAATGTGCGCCCGGACGAAACATAAACCAGTATGCACATATTAGACATAGTTAAAGTTACGCCAGTCGTAGCGCTCTATATTTACGCCACCTACCCAGCAGGCGTAAGCCTGGGCCCCGTTTCACGAAGCTCTCGTAAGCCTAAGTTCTCGTAACTTTTCTCGTAGCGTCGTCCCTCCTATGTTACAGTATAGGAGGTACGAATGCTACGAGGAAAGTTACGAGATCTTAGGCTTACGAGGGCTTTGTGAAACGAGTCCCAGGCGTAGCCCTGTAATGGCGGCACTGGATGCCGAGGGTTTTTTTTCAGCCGCACATTTTCAAAAGGTTTGAAACGTGAACGTAGTGCGAGAATTGCGCTCTTGTGGTCCTGGATCTGCGTACGGCTATAAAATTACACAGAAATGTAGAATATTTAATTTCCTATCCGTTGGTATAAATATAAGTGCGACTACCTCGGCGGTTTTAGAAATAGACACTGTACTGTTAAATGTTGTCCAAAATTTTGCTACGCGTTAAAAAACTCTCAATTTCTCCACTTTTTGTCGTGCACCGATAAAAGCAAACTGCTACGAATTTATTAATTTGGCATCTTTACAGAAAGTGTGAGCAAAGAAAATACAACCTGATATCTGAACGACATAAGTGTATATGAAATGGGTTTATGTGCTAATCGTTAACGGTACACCCTCAACATTAAAAATGACTCGCGATAAGTGCCAATAATGGATTTTCTTCTGTGACGTCAACCGACGACAGAGAGGTCATACACGTATAAAGATAACGGGGCATAACTCCGCTATGCTTAACACTAGGTCAATGTAACTCAGATCACTTGGAGAAAAGTTGTTGTGGATACGGACGCTATATTTTCGTTATGTTGTGTTCACGGTAAACCAAACTATTCCAATTCAAAGTTCAACAATGTGAGCAGATACGTTTTGGTAGTTTCACAATTTATAAGAAAAGATGGCAATGTACTACTTGAGAAATCACGTAATAGCGATTTAGATGGCCCTATCCGATATGTAAGTTAGTTCTTAGATTCCCATGTTCTCCTGTTTGTGTAGATGTATTATGACTAATTTTGCATCATTATTAACGGAGTACTAGCCATATCTTCAAATGTAATGAAATTACTGAAAATAATATAACATTTTAGTTGACGTCATGACTTGTTTTATGCATTTTGCGACATTGGTTTACTGATTAGTATATATCTTACCTAATTTCCATTAATTGTATAAAAGGTCTCGGCTGTTTAGAGAAAACATAAAATGAATGATTTTACCAATTAAATAGTGTCCCGAATATATCAACAATTAGACCGTTTCATTTTATTTTGAAGGAATCATTAGCAAAGCCGTATCCAAAATTTCATATGTGGGTAATGTGGTTAACTAGATATTAGTCATCACAACACATTGGGGTATAATATTTCTTTAAAAATTGCAGATAATTAAAAACGATCTGTCATTTGGTACTTCTTAGATAATCATTATGGCCCTCAGATAGTATCATATAAAATATGTTCAGTATAGTATTGGATGACTTCCCGTCAAAATCGACATTCAAACAATTGGATTGCTTGACTTACAGTTAGACGGGGGCAGTTTTTTTAAGGACAGACTCATTTTAATCTTTCAAGAACATTGTGTCCAGATATTTAAGCTGGCACTGTTTACAATATATCGAGAGCTGACACTTGTGTGACCATTCAGTATTTAGCTTTAACCTTTGGCCTCATGTATGAATAAGTGAAAACATTAGAATAAGTTATGTCCTTATCATTACGTCTTCTGAAAGGCGGATGGGTAGTGTCTCCAAAACAAGCTCTTTCAGTAAACATGAAGGGGGAGTCACTTTAACATATTGCTTTTTATGCACCTAAGATACCTAAAATTCTAGCGGACTTCTGCCTATCTCAAAAACACAAAATGTCCTTGCATATTTTGTTTCCTGAAGTTTGTGATGCATTTATTGCAGATTTTGCGTTTTTGGGGGGTACCAAGATGAAAAGTCAAACAAGATGAAAAGTCAAACAAAAAGGGGACCGTAGGGCTGGAACATAGCAAAACCAATTTGCTTCAGGTTGACAGATAATGTGTAGAAAAATAAAACATAAATACAGCTTCATTTGTATCACTTTCTAGGTGAGGCTGGCTACTTTTTTGAACGTCCCTCGTACTTCATCAGACTTATGACTGCCTTAGTGCTAAGGCGACATAACTGCCACCCATTATCGTGACTACAACGATCCATCAGACTTACGATTGTCGTAACGCTGCGACCGCTTTCTGGAACTGGGCCTAGATTTTCGAAACATTCGTAGCCCTACGAACTTCTTAAGCCTATCCTTAACACATTGGCTACGATCAAAGTTAAGAATTCTTAGGGCTACGAACGTTTCGAAAATCTGGGCCCTGGCCCTGTTATGCACCTGAACAGTCTCCTTAAGTTTATGTGAACAACAATACAACATACATCACATCCATTTGGGGCTTTAGGGTCTGCGTGTGACAAGTAGCTATTGAAAAGAGAAAAGGAAACACTGAAGTAAGAAATTAAAGCAGCGTTCCACATCAACTGGTTTGTTATTTTGCAACTACCCGTGAAGATCCGGGTTAGAATTGGTCTTCAGCAACCCATGCTTGCGGTAATTTAAGAGGCGACTAACAGGATCAGGTGGTCAGGCTCGCTGACTTGGTTGACACATGTCATCGTATCCCAATTTCGTAGATCGATGTTCATGCTGTTGATCACTGGATTATCTGGTCCAGACTCGATTGTTTACAGATCGCCACCATATAGCTATAAAACATTTCTGGATGCGGCGTTAAACAGCAAACCAACCAACTAATGTTTTGCAACTGCTATACGCTAAGACGCATTCCTCTGTCATACAGCCGAAACGTCCATAAACAGAATCCCCATTATGAAAAGTTGAGAATTTGATAAGTCCCCGTTTCACAAAGCGATTGCACCGCAACGATATGTTATGTGGTCACCACACGCTGTTTAACGCACAAATATTCAACACGCGGAAGTAAATCGCTCACATAATCGTTGTCAAGGAAGAAACTCGCTGTTGTGTATATATAAAGATACGCGGTTCAAACGAGCCCAGTCCGGGGCGCTTGAACACTCATCAAGGCAAAGTGCTCGAGAGATTTTTTTGACGAGGTTTATTTGTTTCTGACTGCTCCTCTGAGACGTCATCCACGACCATGGCCGGCTACAGAGTTTTGTTGTTACTTAGTACAACGTTGATGGGGATGACAGCGGCGTACAAACACGTGGTCTTCATGCATGGTGTACTGGCTGGGATAGAGGAGTTCACACCTTTTGTCAAGCAGCTGAAGATTGTAAGTTGTCCTTACAAAGTTTTGTTGTTGCTGTTGTTGTTCTTTTTTAGCAATATTCCACCTGTATGAGGGCTATCTGTAGATGGTGAGTGAGTTTAGTTTTACGCCGCGCTTTTAGCAATATTTCAGCAATATCACGGCGGGGGAGGGATTCACACATTGTACCCATTTTGGGAATCGAACCCGGGCCTTCGGCTTGACGAGCGAACGTTTTAACCACAAGGCTACCTCACCACCCCAACCTATAAATAAACGAGTCTTGACTGGACAATCCAATGATTGGCGTCATAAACATCGACCTACGCGATCAACATCGTTGTTGATATAATTAAAGATATATACTGAGGGAAAAAATAAGGGATCACATGAAGGCACAAGTGTTCCCTTATTCTTTCCCAGGTTTCTTCACAAGCTGTGTATCGCACAAACGGTGCTTTCACGTTATCCCTCAGTATACTATTTTAGTCAGATTCTCGTAGCTTAAAACTGTTTATAACTTCCTGGTTGTTGCAGTGTAGTCATACACACGCCTGGTATTCACATCGTGCATATGTACAAGAAGAACGGACGCAATTCCCTATGAAAAGCTATAATGGAATTATATATAGACCATGACTTGCCGTAATTTTGAGATCTCACGTGAATATTTGGATTCAGGATGTGAAATCACTGAGGCCATCGAACGATATAATTCTTCTTCCGGATTCTACAATTTCTCGTTGGCGGTGGTTAAAGCCTTCTCTCGTAACGCTAAAGACCCGGGTTCGATTCCACGGATGGGCACAATGGGTACAAGTGCATATCTGGTATCCCCCGTCGTGTCATTGCTGGAATATTGCTTAAAGCGGCGTAAAACTAAACTCACTACAAATTCTCAACATTTGCCCTTTACTCTCAATGCTCACCTAACCGTATTTTCTGCTGTTCACATTCTTTCCAAACACAACATTCTTCACGCTAAACTCATTTCCTCAGAAATTGCACGTAAGAAAAATATATTTTTGGAGATTTGTTAGGGAGGGAGGGGCCGGGGTTGGGGGTGAGAGGGGCCGGGGTTGAGGGGGATGAGAGGGGGATGGTTGTACATACTTGTACCCTTGTTATGTTTATGTCATTGTGAGTCAGGAAACGTATGTATGTATGTATGTATGTATGTATGTATGTATGTATGTATGTATGTATGTATGTATGTATGTATGTATGTATGTATGTATGTATGTATGTATGTATGGATGGATGGATGGATGGATGTATGTATGGACGTACGTACGTCCGTACCAATATTAGAATCTAATATTGGTCTGGAATACGTGCATGTATGTATGTATAAGTCTTGAAGAGTAAACAACGAAACATGATGGAGAAAAGGGCATTCTGTTTTTATTTATCTATCTGATATTATGACGGAACACCTGTACTATTATGGACATTTTGTATATACATCGGGGGCATGAAAACAGCGTTGGTGTCATAAGCTCTGCGCAGGAAAAACTACTCCACCATTGATAACATTCATATACCTTAATCAAAATAAGAAATTATACTGCGTATTTGTTGATTTTAGTAAAGCCTTTGATACTGTGTGGTGCTGTGGCCTTTGGCGGAAAATGGTTGATAATGGTATTACCCGAAAATGTTTTAATGTTATGAAAAATATGTATCAGCATATTAAATCACGTGTTTCTCATAATGGCAGTACAACCCAAGTATTTCCTTGTAATACCGGTGTTAGACTAGGCAAACATTTATCTCCATTTCTGTTTGCTCTTTATTTAAATGATTTGGAAAATTTTCTCTCAAATAACGTAATTGGTTTGGAATTTGTAAATGCTTATGCACTAAAAGAAATTGGTATATTCATTTAGCTACTGGTAATTCTTTATGCTGATGATGCAGTACTTTTATCTGAATCTCCTTCCGATTTGAAAACCGCCGCCTCCGTGGTGTAGTGGTTAGAGCGTCCGCCCGAAGATCGGAAGGTCGCGGGTTCGATCCCCGACCGCGTCATACCAAAAGACGTTAAAATATGGTACTTGTTGGTCCCTGCCTGGCGCTCGGCATTAATGGGTACAACAAGGACTGGTCGGCTCGGAGTCAGTATAATGTGTCTGAGTGGGGTATTCATGCTTCACTGGGGCATGGTATCTCAGCACTATAAAACCAGCTTAAATCTGGGCTAGTACAAGCAGCCGCACAAACACATACACACGCATGCACGTCGTCATATGAGCGAAATATTCTCAAGCACGACGATTAACCCAATTTCACCTCACCTCAACACTGATTTGAAACTTTGTTTGGAAACTTTTGATGCTTACTGTACACGATGGAAACTAACAGTAAACATTTCTAAAACTAAAGTTTTGATTTTTTCCAAAAGAAGCAGTGAACTTAGTATTTTTTTCTTCTGCAGAATACTGTTTTAGAGGTAGAAAAACGTTATGTTTATCTTGGTGTACTATTCACAAGCACTGGTCGCTTTTGTAAAGCCATTAAACGGCTCTCTGACCAATCGTCTCGTGCAATGTTTGCTACATTTAGAAGAATTCGCTTGTTAGATATACCGGTCGACTGCCAACTTAAACTTTTTGATCAACTTGTTAAGCCTATTTTATTGTATGGTGCTGAGTTGTGGGGCTACGAAAACACTATTCAATTAGAACGTATTCATTTGAAATTTTGTAAATACATATTGAAGGTAAAAACAACAACCCCAGATTTTATGGTTTACGGTGAACTTGGAAGATATCCACTTAGTATTTCTATCAAATAGAGAATGTTATCATATTGGTGTAAATTATTATTATCTCATGGTAAACTATCAAAAGTAATGTATAAATTAATGTTCAATTTGCACAATTCTCAGGCAAATGCTAAATATCCGCTAATAGCGGAAGTAAAATCTGTCTTAGAGAATACAGGCTTTAGCTACATTTGGCAATTACGAGAATTTCAGAGTACCCATTGGCTGGTAAAGAATGTTAAAACTGTACTCGTTGATCAGTTTCTACAAACTTGGAGAGAAAGTAAATCACAATCATCGAAAGGCCTATATTACAATATGTTTAAGGATAATCTTTATATTGAAACTTATTTGTTGCAACTTCCTGTAGATTTACGTATTTATACTACAAAACTTAGAACTTGTAACCACAGACTCCCTATTTAAACTGGTACATGGCATAAAATTGATGAAGAAAATAAATTGTGTACATCATGCAAGAGTAAAATTGGGGATGAATTTCACTTTATGTTAGAATGCAATGAGTTAAACGAATTACGAAACAAATATCTCCCTCCGTTTTTTTGTAAACATCCCACTGTGGATAAATATATTTCACTTATGTCTATCACATACAAACCAATACTTGTTAAACTTGCTCTGTTTGTAAAATGGGGCTTGCGTACGCTCCGTTAATGTAATATGTATGTGTTTCATTGTTTTGCACATGTATTTGTTTTACTCTATGTCATGTATATGACTCATGAGAATAAACTTTGAAACTTGAAACTTGAAGGTATCCCCCGTCGTGACATTGCTGGAATATTGCTGAAAGCGGCGTAAAACTAAACTCACTACAAATTCTCAACATCTTGAAGAGTAAACAATGAAACATGATGGCGAAAAAGGCATGCTGTTTTTATTTATCTATCTGATATTATGACGGAACACCTGTACTATTATGGACATTTTGTATATACATCGGGGGCATGATCACAGCGTTGGTGTCATAAGCTCTGCGCAGGAAAAACTACTCCACCATTGATAACATTTATATACCTTAATCAAAATAAGAAATTATACTGCGTATTTGTTGATTTTAGTAAAGCCTTTGATACTGTGTGGCGCTGTGGCCTTTGGCGGAAAATGGTTGATAATGGTATTACTGGAAAATGTTTTAATGTTATGAAAAATATGTATCAACATATTAAATCACGTGTTTCTCATACTGGCAGTACAACCCAAGTCTTGAAGCGTGAACAACGAAACATGATGGAGAAAAAGGCATTCTGTTTTTATTTATCTATCTGATATTATGACGGAACACCTGTACTTTTATGGACATTTGTATATACATCGGGGGCATGGTCACAACGATTTCAGAGTAAATATGCACCAAATAAGGTAACACGTCGCATCGAAACTGAACAAAGCGTGTCTGTTCAGTTTCTTTTCACTCGAGTCACGAGAGCATGTCGGTTTTATTATTGGTCTGGATTACTTCCTGGTTAAGTCATCTGTCGTCACGGGTCAAGGCTGAAAGACATTCAAGTGCCAGTTTACGGAGTCAAGATTCTTTCTTCTCTACGCTTCACATATATACCCTGTTTTGAGTGTGTGAATTAAACCTCTCCTTGAGTATTTGTATTTAATTATTATCACTTTAAAGCCCAAAGGCAGGACAATAAAATCTGAAGACACTGAGATTCAAACAAATAACACCTTAAGTGTTTGTATGTGTGTGTGCGTGCGTGCGTGCGTGCGTGCGTGCGTGCGTGCGTGCGTGTGTGTGTGTGTGTGTGTGTGTGTGTGTGTGTGTGCTTACACTCAGCAATATGTCGGCTATATGACGGGGGTCGGTAGATAAACGGGTCAATGCATGTCGTGTATATATGTCAAATGTGTGTGTGGTACTTGATAAATGTGAGTGAATTTGATAACTGTAATGTGTGTATTCAATTGATCACTAGGATAATACCCTTGACCTAAATGATGTCTAGGGGCGGTGGGGTAGCCTAGTGGTTAAAGCGTTCGCTCGTCACGCTGAAGACCCGGGTTCGATTCCCCGCATGGGTACAATGTGTGAAGCCCATTTCTGGTGTCCCCCGCCGTGATATTGCTGGAATATTGCTGAAAAGCGGCGTAAAACTAAACTCACTCACAAAGTAATGTCCACATTTAGCTGCGGATGCAAGTACTGATGAACAAAGGAAAAAGTAAACCCGGCACAGGAATACGAAAATCGGAGCGAAATAAGGAATCCGCCTAAGCTTGCCGT